AAAGTCACCTGGAGAAGTTGTGTTTGTTTCTCGTGTTTTTTTTTCTTTAATACAATTACAGGCTACTGAGAATGTGAGGATGAAACCGGTTGAGTGTTCAGGGGATCAGGGGCTGCTTGGTTGTGTTGATTACGAGTGTGGGTCTGAGAACCAGCAAGAGGATTTCTCTGGACGCCTTAGACCTTGAAAGGACCTGGGATTTGTTTTGGGGCCTGGGTCGGTGTCCAGCCGTCTGTTCTATGACCTATGGGATTCCCTGGATACTAAGGAGAGAGAATTCCAGTTGTCCTTCCTGTTGTGGTTGATTGTGAGTGCACAATATTTTAATGTATTATTGTGTTACGGATGCAGTATTTGTAGGGAGAAAGGTATTTTCATTCACTAAGGTAACTTACTTGAGAATAAAAGAAGAGAAGGGATGAAAAAGTGGGAAGCCCTCAAGAATAGTAAATGATGAGAGAAAAAGAAGAGGTTTTTACTAAAAGGAGAGGATTGAACAGAAAGCGGTGCCCTGGCGGGGCTTCAGGGGTACTAGATGCCTGGGAGGCAAGGTCAATTTGGGGAACTGAAACTCCTGGCCTGCCACTGTCTGACCTGAGAGGGAAGGAGTTTAAGATGAGGAAGGGTTGGGGTTCTCAGGTGTAAAAATTGAGCTACCTTGAGGTGGAAAGTAAGATCACGCCCACTGGAATTATTCCCAGCCAAGGTGAGTGATGACTGGGTTGATTACTGCACAGCCCCTCACAAAATGTCTCCATCTGGGGTTGGGAGTGAGCTTGTGCTCGCCCCCTGGTGGGTGGGTGGGGGATAGCAGTACATTATTAAGTGAACGGGAAGAATTTCAGATGGGACCAAGGATACAGTAGGTTGATCCTGTAGATTACGTGATGCAGTTAAGAGCAGCCTGGTGATGACGACACACCACCAGTACTCGGGCTTCTGTGGAATCTGGGGTACGGGTGAGCGTACGCTGGATCTAGCTGTTTCCAGAGTCAATTGTTCTTAGCAATCCTAAGGCGTTTTACTGTGCCCTCACAATTTTTTTCTATTCCTGAGCACAGTTCTATGCTTGCTCTTACCTGGGGCTGTTTTTTGAATGCTTCCAAACCGACTAACCCAGTTCTCTTAACTTCTCCCTTTTCCCAAATTCTTTTGCCACTTTCCCCAAGTTTACACTGCATGCTCACCTAGGTATTTCCAGATAAGCTCTTCAGTTCTTTCCTGTTCCGCATTCATTACCTAAATCGTTAAGTTTTTGTTGTTTTCATACCGCTCACAGGCTGAGTTCTTCTGATATATACATCTTCTTAATAAGAGGCAATCATCCATCAAGAGTTTTGACTGTTTCTTCTCTCCTCCCTCCCCCCCCCCAGGTCACCGCCCCTCTGATCTTTGCCGTCACGATTGCTACAATAGGCTCTTTCCAGTTTGGCTACAACACTGGAGTCATCAATGCTCCTGAGGTGGTGAGTGCCAGGCAGCTAGAGTTTCGAATAGGATAATTATTCCTTTAGGTAGTGTTTCCAGAATTAACAAGCTTAGACAGACTCGGTAGGTAGCTTGGCTAAGACCTAGAGGGGGAATGATATTGGTGGGGGTCTAACTGAATCATTGATCAAGGCAAAAGGCTCAGGGGCTCCCTGTACCCTGGACTGTACCCATTCTTCCTCTCACCCTACGGTGACACACTTCCTTTATTATCTCTTAGGGGTTAGTTACAAAGTCTCAGGGCGGGAGGGTGGCTGGGATAGTCACTGAACAAGAGTACATCAGTACTACCATCTACTGGAATTTTCAGGACAAATAAAAAATTATTCTTTTCAGAGCTGGTAACATTAACTCCATTGTGTTACCTGTCTCATCCATTGCCATCTATTTATTCCCTTGATCCGCTACCTAGAAAGTAACTGTAATGCTGTTCTCTTAGGGAGGGGAAGATCCCCAATGTTTGTTTCTTTTCTCATCCAGTTGTAACGGTCTCTTCTCCCACCAACCATTTTAATTTGCAGATCATAAAGGACTATCTCAATTACACTTTGCAAGAGAGGTTTAAAAACCCTCCCTCTGAGGTGGTACTCACGTCCCTGTGGTCCTTGTCTGTGGCCATCTTCTCCGTTGGTGGTATGGTTGGCTCCTTTTCTGTTGGACTCTTTGTCAACCGGTTTGGCAGGTATTAATACTTTTTTGTTTTTTGGCTGAGTTGGGTCTTGGTTGCTGCGCGCAGGCTTTCCCTAGTTGTGGTGAGCGGGGCCTACTCTTCGTTGCTGTGCGTGCGCTTCTCACTGCAGTGGCTTCTCTTGTTGCGGAGCTCAGGCTCTAGGTGCGCGGGCTTCAGTGGCTGTGGCGTGCGGGCTTCAGTAGTTGTGGTGCACGGGCTTAGCTGCTCCGCGGCATGTGGCATCCTCCCAGACCAGGGCTCAAACCTGTGTCCCCTGCATTGGCAGGCGGATTCTTAACCACAGCGCCACCAGGGAAGTCCTGGTTTGGCAGGTCTTGATCAGAAGCTGGGCAAGGAAGGGGTCTATACTGGTTGCATTGAGGACAAGTATTGAGGCTTAGAGCAGGGAGGTGAAGATGCATTTGAATGAGAGAACCTCAAATTCCCATCAAGGGGAAACTAGTCCTACAGATTGCTGGGCTCCAACCCAGATTCAGGCCTAATGATTACTCTGGGGTAGGGTGGGATAATTTTAATTTCTAGCAAATTTCTAGCTGATGCTGTTAGTTTGTGGACCACTTTGAGAACAACTGGCCTTCAAGTGCTTGCTAAAATCCTAGCCTACAGCTAGGACGTAGAGGGGAGAATCTTAAACAAGTTCTCTAGGTGAGTTTTATGCATACTGAGGTGTAAGAACCATTGATCTTGATTATCCCAACCAGATGTGTTCTGATACTAGAAAGTGGAAAAATTGGAACCAAAAGATATGTGAGTCTGGAGAAGAGTAGAATGATTAGGAAGGAAGGGGCAGATCAGGTCCATTTTGCTCACTTCACTTGTTTTTGTTTAATCTCTCAGGCGCAATTCAATGCTTATTGTCAACCTGTTGGCCATCGCTGGAGGCTGCCTTATGGGGTTCTGCAAAATAGCGGAGTCATTTGAAATGCTGATCCTGGGCCGACTGGTTATTGGTCTCTTCTGTGGACTCTGCACAGGATTCGTGCCCATGTACATTGGAGAGATAGCTCCCACTGCCCTGCGGGGGGCCTTTGGCACTCTCAACCAGCTGGGCATCGTTATTGGGATTCTGGTGGCCCAGGTACTCCAGAACTTATTGAGTGTTAGTTTCACAACTCATTAAATGAATTTACATAGAGAAGACAGTCAAGAGAATGTCTGGCACAGAGAACTGTATTCAATATCCTATGATAAACCATAATGGAAAAGAATATATATTTCTTTAAATATATATATATATATGCATAACCGAATCACTGTGCTGCACAGCAGTAATTAACACAACATTGTAAATCAACTATACCTCAATTTAAAAAGAGAACATCTGGCACATATTCAACTATATATGTTTCAGGCATTAATTAATATTACTACAGTTCACAGACAGCTAAGGAAGCAGGCAGGGTAGAAAAAGTAGAAGAGACTATCTTTTCCTGTGATAAAAGAACAGATGTGATCTTCTGAACATTTTTTTAAAATCAACTTGTAGCCTGTACAGTATGGAATTTATAGTATTGTCTTTGTCTGGTTTCTAGATCTTTGGTCTAAAAATCATCTTGGGGACCAAAGAGCTCTGGCCGCTGCTCTTGGGCTTCACCATCATCCCAGCCATCCTCCAATGTGCTGCCCTTCCATTTTGCCCCGAAAGTCCTAGATTCTTGCTCATTAACAGAAAGGAAGAGGAGAGCGCTAAGGAGCGTGAGTACCCTTCACGCCTTCACCGTCGGAATCTTAGGCTTGTGGTTTGTTTTAGGATGAGGACATTGGATCTGGTTTTCGTCATCTCCTTTCCCTGTCTGATTATGCTTAAGTCAGAAACTTGCAGCCCCTGGAGGATGGGGTGAGAAGGCGAGTTAAAGCCAGATGCTGATTGAGCCGCCAGATGCAGGGCTCATCTGGGCGGCTTCTTCCCATCCATCTCATGGGGAAAAGGAATTCGGGACAGCACCTTATCATTAACCTTTCCTCTTCATGCTTTTCACCAGTTCTCCAGCGATTGTGGGGCACCCAGGATGTGGCTCAGGACATCCAGGAGATGAAAGATGAGAGTATAAGGATGGCACAGGAAAAAAAAGTCACTGTGCTGGAGATCTTCCGAGCCCCCAGCTACCGACAGCCCATCATCATCTCCATCATGCTCCAGCTCTCTCAGCAGCTCTCGGGGATCAACGCTGTAAGTGCCCACTTGTCTGTCAAACGTGTCCTACAATATTCCACTTAAAACACCTGACCAGAGGTGAATAGCATTGGTTGCTCACCTTCTTTTATATCCAGGGGCCCCTCACAACGCTTGCCACAGGGCAGCCTCTCAAAAAATGCTCTTTACCCAGGTTTCCATTTCGTTTTTTTTAATTTTTTAATTTTTATTTGTTTATTTAAAAATTTTTTTGGTTGGATCTTAGTTCCCCAACCAGGGATCAAACCCATGCCCCTTGTAGTGGAGGCACGGAGTCCTAACCATTGGACTGCCAGGGAATTCCTATTTCTTAAAATTATCTATAGTACATGTTTTCCATGTGGGAAAGATGAGAGAATCAATTAAAAGGTTGTCACCCTTAGCCTTGGAACTTATAGTTAACATTTGTCCTCTTCCAGATGTTTTTTTTAATATATAGAGTATCACAATTTGTCAATTTTTATTAATCCTCTTTTCTTTGACCACTCATTTTAAAAATTTTCAGTCCTCTTTAACTCTGATCTGTCTTATTACGTGATGTTATCAGTGATAACGTAAGCCATATAATCAAAGCAGATGTGAGAGTTGATATACCTTGGGTTTTTTCCCAGGACTGTACAATTTAAAATCAGTGTAAAGCCCTGGGGAGCAATTAGGAGGTGTGTGGGCACACAGGCAACTTCAGAGTGAGCTGGGCTTATCATTCTCTATATTTTTTACAACTTAGAATAGTGACTATGATAGTTAAGTGTGAGGCAAAATGGAAGCTAGCAGTGGGCAGGTAGCCATTGTATTCTATGCAAAAAACAGCTTCTGCTCTTCAGTCTTGGTTGTGGGCAGAGAGGATATTCCTACACCTATCCTTGTGCAGATAAAATATTTGGATATGAAGAACACCCACTCCTGTCCCCCTTCTAAGTACTGATTCATGCCCTGAGGGTTTCCCATCATAATGTGATCAGTGTGATCAAATCATTTTGTGACAAAGCGTTTTACAAAACACGTGATAACTCAAAATACAAAGTTTGTCCTTAGCCTTTTCTCCCTAACGCACCACGAGGATACTTGTGTTTGAAATAGCAGTGCATCTCCTGAGGACTTAGAGGCTGTCATGTCAGACCTTGGGAGGAAAGATAGTTTGAAAAAGCCTCTCAGGTGGTTTTGATGGATCTCAATCTCAAATTTCCACATTTGAAAAACCACTGTAATCAAATATACTCTCAAGACTTTCCAGAACAGCGAGGCTGGGACTTGAGTGGGGTGTCCAGATACAAGACGTGTCCTGAGAAGGACCGCCTTCTTCAATTCTATACCCCAGGCGCCTGCTTGCCTCCCCCGAGTCGAAGCCCTGCAAAACAGGATCAGAAAAAGACCACCCTGGGAAAGTTACAAATGATAGATGAGTGCTCTGCTGGCAGGACCTACCCAGCCCCCAGCCCCTACCCCCGCCATTTCAGGAAATGGTGTGTGAAAGTCAGTTTTCCAACCTACCTTTGAACAAAGGATGTTTTCTAATTTCCCTTAAAGGCAGAGGGGGTAAGAGGCTGGATAGTGTTTACCCAGCAGAGAAAACTGCCTTTAGGTAAGATGATGTGGCCTAGCTCCATGGCATCAGGCAGCAAGATTTTACTGTAAGAAGTTTGCTTGAGATGAGTATATACGTGTTAGGTTTTTGACATGTGAGCTTTTATATAAGGAAGAGAATTGGCATAGCTATTCATCTCTAGTTTTAACTGTTCAAACGTCTTTCCTCACAAGCTTTATATTATTAAATATTCTTCGATTTTTTTTTTTTTTTTTTTTTTAATTCCATGCTTCTCTCCTAGAGCAGCAGTTTTCAATGAGGATGACAGTCCATATCTCAGTTTCCAAGAGCTCAGCCTGAATCTTATTTTGGAAAATATACATAGTTTCTATCTTAGGTTGTAGGGATTTGAAGACTTGTTTCTGGAGACGGTCACTCCCATTGTCAAAGCATATGTTCATCAAAAAGTCTGATGAATACTTGCTGCTACGAGGGCAGGTACTCTGGGTGAAATCATAAACCCCTAAACCAAACCTGAGGGAGTGAGCCATCTAGATCCTGTTCCCTTGTTATCTTGAGGTCTGAGACCAGTGTTTTGACATCTCTTTAGCTGTGGTAGTTGCAGCAGCCCTACGTATTAGCACAGTGTTGAGCAAATAATAAAAATAGTATACATTAAATTGTAGTTCATTTAATAGTGTCTATTCAATTAAAATAATAGCTGGTGTTAGTTTGTAAAACACTTGCAAAGACCTAGTCCCTGGAATTCCAGCCCAGGTTCTGCTTCTAAATCACGATCAGGCCGAGGTTACTCTTCAGTTTTTTTTTTTTTTTTTTTTTTTTTTTGGTTTTTTTTTTGTTTCAGTTTCTTCTCTATCAAGTGGAGACATCAGTGCCCGTCATTGTTGGTCAGGGTGGGAGTTGGAGTAAAGTCTATTGGAAAAGTGTAATTGAAAAACTCAAAGGGACTTAAGCCTTTATATGTAAGTTACTAAAGTAAACTTAGGGAAGAGGCTAAATGGAGCAGTAAGAAGAAGCATAGTTAGAAGGAAAAAAAAAGTGGAAATAAGTAGCTAGAATTGAAGACAACTGAAGAAGAGAATAGAGATAAGTTAACAGAAGATCATTCTGTTTGCGGAAAAGATGCCGTGATTGAACAAAAATCCCTGGGCAGTACTCCTTAACTTCTGGGACCTTTTTGAGTTGATTTTTTGGAGGGTTCCATGTAACTGCTATGCACAATTGTATTTCACAGTTGCATTTTTTGTTCCCTGTTAGGTGTTCTATTACTCGACAGGAATCTTCAAAGATGCAGGTGTCAAGGAGCCGATCTATGCCACTATTGGTGCAGGCGTGGTTAATACCATCTTCACCGTGGTTTCTGTAAGTCGGATGTTTTGATCGTTGTTGAGGTGGGAGAAGAATTCTTGCTACACACGTTCAAGGATGGGCTGCATGTCCTTCCACACCCCCCTTCCGTCATTTAGTTAAACCTTTTTTCGTTTAATTCCTTTTGGGGGAAAAGGGCTATTGAATGATGGGTAAAACAGTCTTCACTCTTCAAACAAATAGGGAATGGATGGGCAAGAGGAAGTATAGAGGGGATTATGTAGGATGCTTTTAACTTGAAGCTGGAAGAGAGCAAGTGTAACTATAACAGGTATCCTGCTGTTGGTCAGGCAGATTCCAGAGCTCATATAGTTGTTTTCATGAAAGGGAATGCAGATATTTCTTTTTTATTCTTTTAGGTGTTCCTGGTAGAAAAGGCAGGGAGGAGGACGCTACACCTGATAGGCCTTGGAGGGATGGCTTTTTGTTCCGTCCTCATGACGATTTCTTTGTTACTAAAGGTGAGTCCTCTTTGCGAAGGAAGGGGGTGGGAAGGGGGTGGTGCGGAAGGGTGAGGGGGTGGGTAGTTGAGGTTTGGAGATCATACAAATGACATTTGGGAGAGGCAACATGCCCAGAGTATTAAGACAAGTGGATTATCAGAGATAGATAACTAAATTGCTATAATCCCTATATCTATATAACATATAGTTTATAAAATACATTATCTCAATTAATTCTTAAAGAAATCTTGAGGTCATTATTCCCCTTTTACAGCTGATAAGATGGTCTCAGTGCAGAATGACATTTGTGATCACACTGCTAGGTTTCAAAGACCCGAGGCTTCCAGGACTTCCCTGGCGGTCCAGTGGTTAAGACTCTGCACTCTCGGTGCAGGGGGCACGGGTTCGATCCCTGGTGGGGGAACTAAGATACCGCATGCCATATGGTGAGGCCAAAACAAAAAAAGAAGAAAGAAACAAGGACCTAAGCCTTCTAGGTCCAGTAACTCCTTTATACCACTTTTCATTATTAGTCAGTGCTCATCTCTGGGAAGCTGGATGCTGCCTGGGGCATGCTGTCTCTAGTACTAACTTTCCTTTGTTCCTTTCTCGTAGGATAATTATGGTTGGATGAGCTTTATCTGTATTGGGGCCATCTTGCTCTTCGTGGCCTTCTTTGAAATTGGCCCAGGCCCCATTCCCTGGTTTATTGTGGCTGAACTCTTTGGCCAGGGACCCCGCCCGGCTGCCATGGCAGTGGCTGGTTGTTCCAACTGGACCTCCAACTTTTTGGTTGGACTGCTCTTCCCCTCAGCTGCAGTAAGTAACTTAAAACTCACCCAGCCCATCTTGAAACCAGCTAATACATAGTTCTGCCTAGAAACAGAATGGTAATAATAAGCCTTAGGATTCCAAACCAATATTTAAAATCCATCATTTGGCTTAGCATTAATGGCTTTATGATGTTAATGATGAGGTAAGTCCTATTATAAAATGGCCTAGAGCTGATTTGTTAAGTAAGGGAACCAGCAGTGGACATCTAGAATGCATTCCCAGTTTCCATGAGTCTTTCAGAAACCCAGATCTTAAAACTCATAATCAAAAGGCCTAAAATACTCAGTAGGTATTTGGAAACAGCTAACTTCAATGACTAGGAAAAGGAATGACAAAAAATTGCAGAGAAATAATAGTAAGGTACCAATGAAATCATAAACAAGTCTCTGAAGAAACCTTACTGTCTTCATGAAGTCTAGAAGGGTTATGGCTTCAGGCCTATTGGAAATAACGATTGTGAGGGAAACTGGGGTTTATCAGTGACCAGATTTTGACAGCGACTCTCCTTTTTTTGTGTCCTTTCCCTAGTTCTATTTAGGAGCCTACGTTTTCATTGTCTTCACGGGTTTCCTTGTTATCTTCTGGATCTTCACCTTCTTTAAAGTCCCTGAGACTCGTGGCAGGACTTTTGAGGAAATTACACGAGCCTTTGAAGGGCAGGTGCCGGCGGGTAACCGAGGTGAGAAAGGTCCCATCATGGAGATGAACAGCATCCAGCCCACGAAGGACACCAACGTCTAAGCAGTGCCTCCTTCCCACCTCCCTCCTGTCATGAAAAAGCAACCTCTCCCTAAGCAAGGGAGAGACCTCATCAGGTTGTAACCCAGGACTGTTTCTGAATGCTGCTACTCAATTCTTTTCTCATCCCACACACTCTTGGGCGTTCAGAGGATCCCAATGCTGGGGTTAGTTGTTATCTTCAAAGGCTTTTAAAAATTTCATTTCTTGGACATTCTCTTCTGTTCAGGAGAGACCAAGGGAACCTGCCTTCATTTCAGGAGGGATTGGCTGCTTGGCATATGATAACTTTGCCAGCTCCTGCTCCTTTAGGCTCTACTATTGCCTCTCGAGGGCATTTAGGGGCATGGGCATGAGGCTGCAGTTCCTCCGACCTCGACTTACCAGGAAGCAGATACACGTAAGAGTGTGGAGGGCAGAGCGGGATTCCATAAGACCGTCTTCCTCACTTCCATACGGCTCTGCAGAGCAAACTAACTTGAGTTTTATTTATTTTATCTTCTGGTTTTATTGCATAAATATTTATTTTTGTAAGTATAAAGTAATTTTACCAAATAATGAAAGCATAAGGAAATTGAGGTTAGAGGGAGGTGCTTAAAGAGGTTATAGTGTGGAAGATTTAATACTGAAGAGGTTAGGGTGCAATAAGAAGGGACAAATTCAGGGAGAAATGTGATGCATTGTTGGAGGGTGTATGACGTGGTGTGTGAGGTTTGCACGTTGCCTCTGAACAATTTCTGTCCTTCAGGTGAAAACTCAAATTTCTCAGAAAAGTCATGTGCCTGTATAAAGAAGCTATTAGTTTCCTTTGGAACTTTTTCTTTTAAGATTATATGTAGTATTACTTGAAATCTAGGATTATCACTAAGATGGGCATTGTAGTTAATGGTAGTTGATGGGTTCTAATTTTGGATGGAGTCCAGAGAAGGGATGGTTATTTCTAGAAATCCTCTCTCCCCTCACTGGACCAAACGGCTTCTTTGTAGTGAACTCACTTTTTTTTTTTCTTTTTTAAATACTCCTATCATCTGGTGGGAGAGCCTTCCAAATGAACAAGCCAAAATATTGGTTCTTGGTAGAGGTTCGTTATTTTAGATGTTGATTTTTATTTTGTTTTAAGCCATAGCTTTAAAAGAATTCAGAGATGTGCATAGCTACCTTGGAATTTGTAACCTCAGCTCTGGGGGAGGATTTTTCCAGAACGATTATTATCCAGTTGAAGTATGTTGTTACATTAGGGTCATCTCATGTTCGTTTATGTCTGTTAACCATGTCGTTACCCTTGTTACCATAGCATTATGTCAAGTGTCCTTCCAGGGACTTGAACTTTCCCACAGACCACACTTGACAGTGTGCGTGGATGTGCAGTGGAGCCCACACTTGAGTGTGAGTGTATGTGCACTGTCACCTTGCTCTGGGTGGAAGTCGTTTATGGGTAACTTGTTTCCTCTATGTTCCTAAAGCCCCCTTTTGGATAGAATGTCGATAGCACTGCCTCTGCTGGGTGGAATTTGAATCTACGGTTTTCTTTCAAACTTTAGAGTTCAGTCTTATCTGGCTACCTTTCCTTTTTGGAGAGGAAGGGGAGAACTCCCTAAATTTTGAGACTGAGAGTGGAGGACTCACTCCATGCTCCGACAACAGGGGGAGATAGGAAAGAGCGTGACATCGGACTCGGTGCCTCTGGGGGTGCTGGAGGGGAGTCACGGGGGAGAGGGAGGCATTCTTTGAAGGCAGTAAGAAACAAACCGAAGCTTCTAACTCCGGGGCGGTTCAGAGAGTTAGGTGAGATGGAGGGGTTTACACTTGCCAGAGGCCACGGACACCTCCACGCCCATCCAGTTCCCCAGTATTTTTAGAAATGGAGATTGGGCCCTTCTTCCCTTTTTCATGTGTTGCTTGACCCTCCCTCTCCCTCTTTGGTGCTTACGTATTTCAGGCCCTTTAGCCAAACCCTTGCCTGTTGCCAGGATTTTGGTTCTAAGTTCTCACCATTCCCTCTGGTCCTTGAGCCTTTGGATAAAAACTCACAGAGCCGTGGGGTGGGGCTTTGCTGGAACGGCTGAGTTTCCTCTAACTGCACCTCCGCTCTGGCTCCTCAGAATCAGTGGCTTGGCAGCCATGCAGTGTGGAGGTCTTGCCATTTCTCACTGACCAGATTGTGAATAATTTCCAAATGGGTTTTCTATTATTGTCACTATGGTTCTTTGTTTTGAAATAAAAATTCTGAATGTACATATAACATTACAGGCTTGGCTTTTTTGTTTTGTTTTGTTTTGGTCCTTCCTGTGACAACAAAATCAGCTTTAATCCCAATGTGGCCACCCAGTACCTGTTGTAACCTTAAGTAAGTTTCTTATACGAGAGTCTCGTACAAATGAAAATAGCAATACTTGTTTATTATGCAGATGAAATGGAAAAGCCTTAGTGCATTGCCTTGCATACTTAATAAATTATGTTGCTTGCTTTCCCCAGTGAGAATTCTTCTGATTTTTCTCTTATGCTCCTACCTATTTCCTTTCTCCTTCAGTCTTCGATCTCTAAAATTCATCCTACACCGATGTCAGGGCATCCATATGACATACACATATACATTTAAATCACTGTCCTACTTAAAAATTCTTCAATAGCTTCCAGTCGACTATAGGAAAAACAGTCCCCTGGCTTAACAACCCCTCCAGGGGCAAGGTCCCTGCTACCTTTCATTTTGATTCACCATTTCTTTCTTTTTTTGTTTACTTTTTATTTTATATTGGAGTATTGTTGATTACCAGTGTTGTGTTAGTTTCAGGTGTACAGCAAAGTGATTCAGTTATACATATGTATTCTCTCTCTATATATATATATATCCCCATTCTTTTTCAGATTCTTTTGCCATATAGGTTATTGCAGAATATTGAGTACAGTTCCCTGTGCTCAACGGTAGGTCCTTGTTGATTATCTATTTTATATACAGTAGTGTGTGTATGTTCATCCCAAGCTCCTCATTTGTCCCCCTCCCCGCCACCTTTCCCCTTTGGTAACCATAAATTTGTTTTCGAAGTCTGTGAGTCTGTTTCTGTTTTGTAAATAAGTGTGCTATGAGTTATAAAAAATAAAAATAAAAAATAATTAGTTATAAATAAATAATTAGAAAAAGGAAAAAAAAACACCTCATACCCACTACAGGCACTCCACACCTCCATGCTTTCCTTTCATGTAGTTCTGACACTCCCTTCCCTAGTTTCCATTCATTTACTACAGATATTTCTACTAGCCCAGGCAGGAGCTCCATAAAGCCTTCTTTACCCCCAACATAGTCCTTACACAGTGGTACTCTGTGTGTTAGAGGGGATGAAAGGATGAAACACCCTGGCTGTCCTGAAAGAGCCCCAGTGAGTGCACCGTATTCTCCAAAATTGTGGTTTTTGCCTTAGCTCCCTTTTTCCACCTTTGCTTCCTTATAATTCATTCTTCACGTGATCAGAGTGATCTCTTAAAATCAGATCATGTCACTTGCTGCTCAAAGCCTTCCAATTCCACTTTAAATAGTATCCAGGGGATGGTATCTAGAGGCATGCAGAATGGCCCAGCGTTCGATGTACGTCCTAGGCTGTCCTACAACAGCCTCTAACAAAACTAGGCCATCTGGAACCCCAAAACCTACATATAGTGTGTGTCCAGGCTGACTTTGAGGGGCTTGTGCTGTGAGACCTAAACTTTTTATGAGGTTGTCTAAAATGAAAAAGCATGTCAGGGGCTTCCCTGGTGGTGCAGTGGCTGGGAATCCGCCTGCCAGTGCAGGGGATACGGGTTCGAGCCCTGGTCCGGGAAGATCCCACATGCCGTGGAGCAGCTAAGCCCGTGTGCCACAACTAGTGAATCCCGCATGCCACAACTACTGAAGGCTGCGCCCCTAGAGCCTGTGCTCTGCAACGGGAGAGGCCACTGCAATGAGAAGGCCGCGCACCACTACAAGGAATAGCCCCCGCTCGCCACAACTAGAGAAAGCCCCTACGCAGCCATAAATAAATAAATTAATTAATTAATTAATTTAGAAAAACCATGTCAGCAGGACCTATGGTGGGTCCATGGGAGGTAAATGCGTCCATGACAGGATCAAGCATGCTTTCCTTACTGAGGAGCAGAAAATCAAGAGTGTTGAAGGCAAAAGAACAGAGTCAGAAAGCTAAATTTTAAAATGGAGATTTTCTTTGTTGTTGTTGGGGGTGGAATTCCCCGGTGGTCTAGCTGTTAGGATTTGGCGCTTTCATTGCAGAGGCCTGGGTTTGATCCCTGGTTGGGGAACTGAGATCCCACCAGCCACATGGTGCGGCAAAAAAATAAAAATAAGTAAATAAATGAAATAAAAATGGAGATTTTTGAGTAACAAAAAAAAAAAAAAAAAAAAAAAAAAAAAAAAAAAAAAAAAAGTATCCAGACTTCTTTGCTGTGGCCTATAAACTGGGTGACCATATGTCCTAGTTTACTCTTATTACCCTGGTGTAGCTTTTTGTATCTGCTTGCATTCATTCTCATAACTGTCCTGACACTAAATTCTGCTTCCCTTGCCTAAAGGGTTTGCTTCTTCAAAGGATTTGCTCTTGTTACTTTCTTTGCTCACTGAAGTTTAGCCCCACTGGTCTTTCTAGTTCTCATGTCCATCAAGTTCATGATCACTCAGGTTCTTGACATTTATCCTCTTGTGCCTGGAATATTCTGCCTCAGAATTTTGTATGGCCGAGTCTATTTTGTGGATTAGGGTTTAGTTAATCTCTGCAGAGGATAAGATCCATAAAAGCAAGTACCTTGTCTTGTTATGCCTAGAACACTGCCTGACATATAATTGATTCTTATTAAGTATATTAGTCTGGCTCCTATCAGAACACCAAAACTCCTATACCTAAAAACATAAAGAAGACCAAAACAACACATTGACTTAAACAGGGAAAGTTTAACTAAAAACAAAAAAACCAGGCTATGATAAGAACAAGTTAAAAATGATGGAAGAGGGCTTCCCTGGTGACGCAGTGGTTGAGAGTCTGCCTGCCGATGAGGGGACACGGGTTCGTGCCCCGGTCCGGGAAGATCCCACATGCCACAGAGCGGCTGGGCCCGTGAGCCATGGCTGCTGAGCCTGCGCGTCGGGAGCCTATGCTCCACAGCGGGAGAGGCCACAACAGTGAGAGGCCCGC